CATTACCATATAGTATATGTATATGTACTGGTAATATCCACTCATGAATAAACCATACCATATAGTATATGTATATGTACTGGTAATATCCACTCATGAATAAACCATTACCATATAGTATATGTATATGTACTGGTAATATCCACTCATGAATAAACCACTGCCATATAGTATATGTATATATACATGTACTGGTAATATCCACTCATGAATAAACCATTACCATATAGTATATGTATATGTACTGGTAATATCCACTCATGAATAAACCACTACCATATAGTATATGTATATGTACTGGTAATATCCACTCATGAATAAACCATTACCATATAGTATATGTATATGTACTGGTAATATCCACTCATGAATAAACCACTGCCATATAGTATATGTATATATACATGTACTGGTAATATCCACTCATGAATAAACCATTACCATATAGTATATGTATATGTACTGGTAATATCCACTCATGAATAAACCACTACCATATAGTATATGTATATGTACTGGTAATATCCACTCATGAATAAACCATTACCATATAGTATATGTATATGTACTGGTAATATCCACTCATGAATAAACCATTACCATATAGTATATGTATATGTACTGGTAATATCCACAATCCCTGTTTTTTCCTCTTATATGAACTTGTTTAGAAATAAACAATATATTAACAAACAAACCGCAGATTATATGGATCAAGTTTACTAGATAGTTATTGACTCAATCCTTATACTTATAGCATGGAGGTAATATTCTTATTACCTCCATGCTTATAGTGACTCAAACACCCTATCAATGCCATACTAATGTCAAAGCCATTTATAGTGTTGATAAGAAGCACACAATTATGTGAAAAAATTCTTTGTTGTGTAATACCTACTGTATATTCTTCATTTCTTCATTCTCACATTCTTTCCTTCTTTACCAGTATTGGTAGAGGATGATGTCTCTATATGTGTATTACCTAATCCCTGAGACCCTAACTTGTGAGAATTACCCAGCATTCACAGGTTAGTGGCTTAGGAATTGGGTGGTGCATTCATAGCAACTGCCAACAGTTATAGGCTGCTCTGAATTTCAGGTAAGAACAACCAGATGCTGACCTCCAAGGTCACAGAGTCAAAGTTCAGAACGTAAATGATACAGTGTTGGTTATTTCTTTACTCAGTCAAGCAGAGCAGAACTTGTATATTTAATTTAGAAGTTCTCTGTATTGTAAGTAAGTGCATTGGTTACGGATTTTCTTGTAATGATTTTTATTTTCCAGTTTTTGTTTCAGAGATGTGAGGAATGCCGAATAAAGTATAATATATTTACAAACTTTTGAAATAAAAACTTTACAATATTTTATATGCAAAACTTAGAAATGTATTGTTTATTTACATTTTAAAGAGAATTTTGGGAAATTTGTGATATTTGTTTTGGGGCATCAGTCTGGTCATATGCGAAAGTGGAAACAAACTTATAATTTATGAGAAAATTGATAAAAATATTTAAGATTTGTTGCCAGCCACTGTTGTCTTTTAATTTTAAACAACAGAAGATTTATTTAACAGTTTATATAAATCAGTCATAACTAATTGAAAATATTTGTATAATAGTTTAGTTTGGTGATT